AATATGTTTACTAACAGTTAAAGAGCAAAAGCACAAGTTTTATTTGTAGTTAACTTAATTTTCAGTTTCATTTATTCAATGTACATATTTTTACTGTTTTATGAGAGTTTAAAAGTTAACAATAAAATTCATTTCCCACAGTCTAGGATTAAACATTTTAACTCCTATTAAAAATAAAAATAATGAGGGCTGGGAGTATAGCTCAGCGGCACAGCACCTCCCTGGCAAGCATGAGGTCATGAGTTCAATTCCTGGTACAAAATAAATACAAAATAAAAGTAACAGTTAAGATTCCTATCTCTATGTAGGACAGATTGAAATAGGAAACCTGAAACAGTTTCCCTCACTATCAATAACTGTGAAGATTTAATGATACTCCCCTAAAGTCATATAATCAGAAAGACTCACCACATTATAGCTCGTGATTTTGACGGACTCAAGACACACAAGTGTTGTCATACTGTGACCCAAGCTCTAATTTACCAGTGACAAAACTGAGGGAAGACAATAAAATTGTACTACACTAAAGATCATCGGACAGTAAAATAACCAGGGTCAGACCCACACTATTCAGATATTTTATTTCCAATCTCCAATGTGTTCAATTATATCACACCACCTGCTAAATTCACAACTGTGAAACAATGGAGTTAGCCAGGCAAGACTGTGAGTTATTCTATACTAGTGAAGTTTCCAGATTCTGGAGTTTTAACTCTTTAAACACCAAAACCAGAAGTATTCAAGATAGGAAAATCTCTACCTTTTAGTAGGAACCTTCCTACAGATGCACTGTAGCTTCAGTGAGAGGGCAGCTCCTCTAGGCCAGCTCTTCTTCTCCCTGAAGACTGTCACAGTACCAGCCCTGTTCCATAGTAACCCTGTACAACCAAAAGGCAGTGCCCAAAAATGTGGGCATGGCAGGAGAGATGAAGCAGGACTTGGGGGATAAACACGGAACAGGTTATGACAGCCCACATCAAGTAAACCAGCAAGTACAATGCCTTGTGGGGAGCAGCTGTGACGATTACGTGAAATATGAAGCAGACATTCTGTCTATTTCTGCCTGGGTTAAGTGACCCTTCTTCTGCTCAAACCTGGCTGAAAACACGGACTAGCCAGGTGTTGTGCACACACCTGTAAGCCCAGCGCTCTGGGAGGCTGAGATGAGAGGATCAAAAGTTTGAATCCAGCCTGGGCAGTTAGTGACTTGGTGAAGGTCCCAGCTTCAATCCCCAGTACCCAAAAATATAACAAACAACCAAAACAAAAATTTAAAAAATCAGAGCTATTTACCAGAAAAGAAAATAGCCTTCCTAACATGAGAAGTCACAACTCCAGATTCCTTGGATGGTCCAGTGAAATGTCTCTGACATTCTTAATCTTGTTTAAATACCAGATCATGAGCCTTATGAATATACCATTTGTTATACTACTAGTCTTCTTTTGTTTTGTTTTGTTTGCTTGTTTGTTTTGTTTTTTTTCCGGTACCAGGAATCAAACTCACAACCTTGCGCTTCCCAGGCAGGCGCTGTGCCACTGAGCTAAATCCCCAGCCCTGAGTCTTCTTTTGTTAATAGGGGATTCTTCAGCATACTCTGTCACCCTCCTGTATTTATTCACTTCCTACTTTATTGCCAGAAGAATGAAAAAAAAAAAATAGCAACTTGGTAGAGTAAGTGATAGAAGCAGAAAGTTTTAAAATAGCGGACAAGCCAGGTGTGGTGGCACATGCCTGTAATCCCAGTACTCAGGAGGCTGAGGCAGGAGGATCACTGCAAGCTCAAGACCAGCCTGGGTTACACAGTGAGCTCAAAGCCAGCCTAAAATGCATAGCGAGACCCTGTCTCAAAAAGACAAAAAAAAAAAAAAAAAAGCAGAGAAGAGATTCATTTTTACTTTCCAGATTTCTTAAACATTATTTCTACCAGTTATACTACAGTTACACGTCACATAAGAATGTTTAGTCAGGGGTCCGGGGATATAGCTCAGCAGCATAAGTGCCTGCCTGGCAAGCGCTAAGTCCTGAGTTAGATTCCCAGGACCAAAAAAAAAAAAGAATGTTTGGTCAATGGAGACCCATACGATTAATGGAGCCGAAACATTCCTATCACCTACTGACACAGTAAGTCTTAAATTATATTATGGCTAGGCTGCACATCTGACCTGCTGCACTGCCAGTCATATAAAAGCACGTACAATTATTCACAGTACACAGTACTTGATAATAAATGACTACACCACCTCAATCTGTGCATGTACATTTTATGATGTTCGTGCAGTGATGAAATCACCTAATGATACATTTATCAGAATGTATGTCCATATAAAACAGAGTCAACTTGGACACATAGACCTTTGGCCTCTACATTAAGATGCCCAGGGTGAGCCAGGTGCAGTGGTATATGCCTGTAATCCCAGCTACTCTAAAGACTGAGGCAGAAGGAGCCCAAGTTCAAGGCTACCATGGGGAACTTAGCAAAACTGTCATAAAATATTTTTTTAAAAACCATAGAGTGCTTGCCCAGCATACACGAGACCATGGGTCAATCTCCAGTTCTGGAAAAAAAAAAAAAAAAAGAGGCAGCCTATGTTGCCATACTTTTTGAGCTTCTGCTATCATTTCTTGCTGTTATACACAATTATCCTAACTTTAATGTTCTATTCAACTTACTTAACCTCATTAAAAATATATGGCAAAAATAAGTTGCATCCCAAACAAAGATTTGAGGAATTCTATTACTAGCTACGTTAGCCTGCCGCCCAGTTTATCTATGCAGGGTCTCCTTCATGTTCTGTTTGCTTCTGAGCTCTCCACAGTTTGGGTTTCTGGGTGAGTGACCACTGGAAAAGTCTGTAAAGTTTCTGAGAGGCTGCATTTGTTTTTACTTGTATTCTGTGTGCATTCATATAAAAATCCCTCACAATAAAGGGTCTGCAGTCATCATAGGGACTTAACATGACCCGAAGAAGACTTCTGAACGCTATACCAGAGATTCGCAAACTGAACTGTACACGCACATCAGCTGTAATCTTGGGGAAAATGAAGTGGTTGGTCCAGTGGTTTGAGGTTTTACCCAAGAGTCTCCATGTCTACTCAGCTGGCAGATGACGTCAAGTCTGCTAGCTTCCCTGTACCCTGAAGAGCAAAGATCTAGTACACATACATCTTTTTTCTTTCTCCTATTTCTAAATTCTCTCGTTCTCTTGCTTTGTTCATTTTCTTGAGTTACTCTTTCTTGCTTGCTTTACGTTTGCCAAGAGTAACCATAGTAACAACTTAGTCCTTGAAGCTGTGGACTCCCATCCATAACATATAAAAAGCACAATGCAGCTGGATGTGGTGGTCACACCTATAATCCCAGCACTCAGGAGGCTGAGGCAGGAGGAGCAGTGCAAGTTCGAGACCAGTCTAGGCTACAAAGTGAGCTCAAGGCCAGCCTGAACTGCATAGTGAGACCCTGTCCCAAAAAGACAAAAATAAAAAAATAATAAAATCACAATGCAGCTGTGTGTGTTGGTATATGCCTGTAGTCCCAGCACTCAGGAGGCTGAAGCATGAGGAGCACCATGAGTTGAAGGGCAGTGTTGACTACATAGTGAGTTCAAGGCCAGCCTGTACTATAAAGCAAGACCCTGTCTCAAAAGACTAAAAAAAATTAATTAAATAAGTAAATATGACATTGCAATAGAATCAAAGCACTACCGTAGCTACAAGCTTTTCCTCAGTGTGACCAACAGTGATATAATCAATATAGACAACATGTTGTTTAGAATGTGTTGTTATTTTTTGGCAAATTTCTTAGCACTTAAATATTTTCCAAAATAACGTATAATTTTAAGTTTCTTACTAGGAAGTGAGAACTTGTTTGCTGTATTATGATTCTGTAATATTCTAACTGGGTGTAGTGGTACATGCCTATAATCCCAGCCCCCTGGGAGGCTGAGACAGGAGAACTGCAAGTTCAAGGCCAGCTTCAGCTACATAGCAAGGCCATCTTAAAAAAAAAAAAGAAAATTCAGTAACATTCCCATGAACTGAATTGTTAATTATAAAGAGAATGATGGTACCACTAATCCTTACAACCTGTTAAATATATATGTTTTAGTCTATTCTAAGATTACTAGAAAATCTATACCAGGCGTGGCGGCACGTGCCTGTAATGCCAGCACTCGGGAGGCTGAGGCAGTAGGATCACTGCGAGTTCGAGACCAGCCTGGGCTACAAAGTGAGCTCAAAGCCAGCCTGAACTGTATAGTGAGACCCTGTCTCAAAAAGACCAAAAAAAGAAAGAAAGAAAGAAAATCTACTATCAAGGATTCCTAATTCTCAAGGGATCAGCTTTTTAGCGAGCTAGTATTAAAGCTATATATACCTTAGGACGTCACACAAATTTCACTTATAACTAATACTTGTTTGTTAGTTCCTATCAAATGGCTCATAATTCTCTTTGTAATTGCTAGATTTTGGATGAGCCTTTTAATACAATACATGCTAGCATTCACACTGTAACTGAATGTTCTTACAAAGCGACTCTCAGATCTCAGTGTGCTTAGCTAACAAGCAGCCGTCTCATCTCACAGTGAGGAAACCTGAGGTGCATCCGGGTTATTCAACCAAGTACGCACACCGCAACAGAATCTAAGACCCCTGACTTCCTTCTAGATACAGAAACTAATGCTTTACGTAAAATAGTTGGTTTCTCAGTAATACTAAGAAATATGGTTTACATAAAGTTAGTTTCTTGCCAATATCGTTACAATCACATCTGGAAGTGGAATCCCATTCTGCAGTCTGGGTTTTCTCAAAGGCAACTGAAGCAGCGAATTCTACCCCATCAGACCAGACAACAGTGCATTCTAGTGGCCAAAGGAGAGCATGATAAAAGTCAAAACATCTAAAACCCTAGAAGCTAATAAGAAAATACATAAGTGTTATCTGAGTCGATGTAGAATTAAAAGTCCAAGATTAAAATGGAGATATAAAACAGAAAAAGTATTACCCGAAAGCTCCAGTCACCACTCCAGTTCTGTAAATGCGGTCCCTGTTTTTTAGCTGACACTATGTTATTCTCATCCACAGCTGGCCTAGGATTTTCCTCTGTCTCTTCCTGTAACTCAGAGGCAAGGTTTGGATCTCCTTCCTTTATTACCTGGAAACAAGCATCAAACAATTTCAATTATTTATGAAGAAATGCCAATTTTTAAGGACAAAAGAATATTTAAAATGTATACTTTTTAAAGAAAAATGTTTAAACTTTTAGCAGATAGAAATGAATGCCTTTGTTTCTATAGGTTATCATCTACACCTGCAACAAATATCTGCCAATTATTACTACCCGCTAGGTAGCTTAGTTGACATTAGAGATACAAAAATGAATAAACAAAATTCTTAGCCTACAGAAGCTCACATCGTAAAAATACAATGTGCGGATGTGTCAGTTGGTGCAACCTCTTTGGAAAATAATCTGCAATGTCCAGAAGGGTCTAAAGTAGACATATGCTAAAATCCAGCAAATTAATATACAATCCAGAAAATTAACATACACACGGAGTCAAGGATGTTTGTGATATTACTGCCATCAGTAGAAGAATGAGTACATAAGGTGTGATTTACACAAACAATGGAGTTTAAATGCAGGAATCAGACATCTCAGCCAGGTATTGGCCTCCGATCTACACACTGCCCAGGGCAGTAACCAGACTTTGGGCTAGATATGGAACCATTGGCTGGCTGCTTAAAGAAAGAGCTGTTGTTAAGGAATTAAAAGAGAGAGAAAGAGGGCAGGCAACACCACTGCAAGAGCACATGGCTCACCAGAACCCCTCTGCAGGTCTCTCTGAAGCAGCTGCTACCACCTTTGCCTTCGTTGTCACAAGGTCCCTGGTCCTCAGGAATACAAGAAGAGCATGCATGACACCTCAGTGCAGCAAACAAGAGAGTCGACCCCGAGCTCAGGCTTCTTAAACCTCTAAGAAACTACAGGGGTGGGGAAGCCTCTAGCCCTGGGGATAGTGAGCTGCGGCTTTCTGAGGAAAAAACTTGTAACTACGACTGGGGAGAAAGGATCTCCTTCACACCACGTACATTCAGTAATCTCCCAAAAGAGAGAGAAAGAAATCAGGCTGCAGGAGGAAGAAGGAAGCAAACAAAATAGAAGCCATAAGTAGACCTGGCTAGAAATATAGTATTTATTAAAATAATGTATGCAACAAGAGATACAAAGTTGTTTTTTGTGCCTCTACAACATAGGTTCTGAATTAATTTCAGCATTGGTTGGAATGCGTAAATTGGCAAGTCTTTATGGCTGTAACATTGGGACTCAAACCACAGTTATTCCACCTATAAAGTTAGGGGAATTATTTCACGGAAAATAACAAAAGTTAGCTGGGCGTGGTGGTGCACACGTCATCCCAGTACCCAGGAGTCTAAGGCAGAGGATCACTGAAAGTTTGAGGACAGCGTGGGCTACGTAGTGGGTTCAAGGCCAGCCTGAACTACTTAAGAGACCCTGTCTCAAAAAACAAACAAAAAGCAATAATAATAAAAGTCATAAGGCACTTTTCATGTGAACCATTAATATTGCTTGCCTAAATTCTCCATGAACATAATCTTTATTGCCCTAAAATACCCAGAGTAGCCATGGAACTCTGAAACGGAATAACAAATTTAAAGTCTCTGAATTTACAATTTTTTTTTTTTTTTTTTTGTCTTTTTGAGGCGTGGTCTCACTATGCAGTTCAGGCTGGCCTTGCACTCACTCTGTAGCTCAGGCTGGTCTCGAACTTGAAACAATCCTCCTGCCTCAGTCTCCCGAGTGCTCGGATTACAGGCATGTGCCACCACACCCAGCTGAATTTACAAGTTGCCTTTTAAGAAATCAAGACCCTGCTCCCCAGAACTGCCATCCCCAACCCCCAATTAAAATAACATGGTGCAGTGTAAAATAAAACACAGCCCCCAAGGATTGAACCTAAGACCTAACTAGAAAACAAGGGTTAGTCCTTCTGCCTTTCAATTTAACAGCCCACTGCGGCCTGACAGACTTATAAACAATGAGTGGTGCCTGATGGTTGGTTTCTGCATCTTCTGCGTTACAGAGGCCACTAAAGGTCCCTACACCCAACGCTGCTGGAATCACTAATCAGCAAGTCACAACTATTTTGTTATCATAGATTAGGCTAATACGCTCTGCTCCTTGCCTCTTTCAACGGCCACTTGGCCACAGTATGCCCTCACCTGCGGGCAATACCACATACATTGACCTGGCTACTTAGAGAGCGCCTCATCAGCTCTGCCATCAGCTGCGAACTTTACAGGCAGGCTTTTAACTGAGGCAACTGCATCTCCTGCACCTCTGTCACAGGAGGGCACGGCTTCCCCTGTCCTCATCACCTAGGTAGATGCCCTGGTTCTGGAAGGCGTCATCCCTCTCCTGAACCTCAGTCTACCTGAGGAGCAGCTGGAGCTCACCTGAGTGAGCAGCAATGGGATTTGAACACTTCGTGGGCAGCATGAGGCAGAACCATTACACGGGATGGAGTTCTCTGGAAAAAATGATGCTTTTCATCCTCTAATAGGATGTCCCTGAGAGAGGACAGGACCCAAACGTCAGCACAGTTGGCTGAACTTCAGGAATCATCTTCACACCACACGCTCTCGCCAACAACGGGCTCCAACCATACACTTTTACAAATTTTTCAACACTGCCTGAGACTTGCTCCCAACAGCCTTGTGTCAAAGATACTCAGATAATATAT